TTGATAAAAACGTTCTCAATGCAGTTTGTGATCACAAGTTTACATCCATACATCCTACGTTAGATCAAGGAGTAGTGAACCTACGTTGTTACTTAAAAACGTTATGGGGTTTGGATTGCTCATTACTATTGAAACAGTGGGAAATTGTTTGTTAACTATTGTGAGATATATTTAGAAATGGAATATGCCGATGATGCAATTGTGAGAACGTTGAAGAACGTTAATAGTGTCGTTGTTGAGTTCGGTGGCAAGGTCTAATAACATAACACATGCAATACTTTGAGAATGACTTGTTACTCACTTCTGGTCGACTTGTTTCTGTTACCTTGTTAGGCTTAATTTATTGAAGAACGTCTCAGGACCAGTGACAAAATATTTCAATATCACTATAAGATATAATGAAACCCCTGCCTCTTTTTCATTCCCGTTCTTAAGTTTTAGCATGGCATGCAGGGTCGGCCTACGACTAAGATGTACGATAACCTTTGCTGGTCTTGAAAGTAACATACCTGCTTCCGAAACCTATGGTGTTTACATGTCGCAGTTGTTGTTCCGGTATACGAGAGTTTGTTCTGATCTGCGTTATAAATGTCGACGACTGACGTACAAAAAATACAATACAGGACTTCCAGAGAAGCAGGTTGATGATGCAAACTGTTCTATGGTCTCCATTCCAATTTTGACAGAAAACTATGCAATTTATTTTGTGTGATAGCAAAATCTATTGTTTCAGTATGCCTATTAGTAAGCCTTGTTGTTTTGTTATCGCTATAAGGGCGTGGCGTTACTTTGATTGACATTTACCATACCGGAACACCTGAAGGACGTGTGGATGTCCGACAAAATTGATGATGTTACCAGAATAACGGTGCATACATCTATGACGCGGTGGTGACGTTTTCAGGGTAATGACGCGAGTGGGCTGTCTTTTCCCTTGTTAGAACGGGTTTATCTTCTCCATAGCGAAAATAAGAATGTTTCTGAAATGCAGGAGGAATGATACATAATCATTTTACTTCATGTACCTAGCAAATATCTGCCAATCAGAAAATACATGATGTCATAACTTGAAATAAGCACAGAAAATAATTATTAAGTAACAGAAAAAAATACAACCTAGTGGCACATATAACGTTTACTTTATTCAAATTAAATATGTACATGTTTTTTTTTGATGTTCAATATAAAACAATGTATAATATAACTATATAAGTGTCCTTCACCATTAGAGTAAGACACTAACGATATTCTAGTAAGCATTAACTGGTTTAACAGTCTTTCACACTGCTGAATGAGCTAAAGCAAATTTCGTCCTAGCCTAACAGAACAATCGTCGTCCTGAGTTTTGCATTGCTTATAGACATTATTGTGTATCGCTAGTATTTACGTAAATATTCCCTGGAAAACAACACGGGCGTCAATGAAGCAGAAGTAAGTTTTTCTATTGCATCCGCTAGGAGTCGTGATTCCTTGTTTACCAGTCTTACTATATATCGATTGAGCTTAAGATGAATGAGAAAAGATAATATCTCACTGGCTGAGTTAGATGGAAGCAGATAGTATGTTACCATGGTGACAGATATAATTAAGTCACTATGCAGAAACAACTCGGGAACACACAATCTTAGCTGCCGAATAACTAGTGTTACAAATAAGGGAAGTAACCAATATTCTTTAGTAAATTCCAAACAAAATGTGATATGACAGTTAGTTACACTGCAGCATACAGTAAAATATCGCATACAGCACAACTCAGCATAGTGTAAGCGCATCATACCATACAGCAAAACTTACTACATAAACAAAACCGCTGTTTACCTGGCAGCCCAACACTCATTACACTACAATACACAGTAAAACACAACTTACTACAAAAAAAAACACCACTGCTTACCTGGCAGCACTACACAAAGGGCAGAACTACACTCAGAACAATACACCATACAATAAAGCACAACTTACTACATAAAAAACGTACCTAGCAGCAAAGCGCACAGGACAGCACAATGTACAATACAAAACCCAGTACAGCACAATTTACTGCAAAGTACCACTGCTTACCTGGCGGCAAAGCACACAGGACAGCACAGCATATACATGTAGTACAATACAACGCACAGTACAGTCAAACTTACTGCAAAATACCAATGCTTACCTGGCAGCAAAGCACACAGGACAACCCATCATACAGTACAACACAACTTACTGCAAAACAAAACACTGTTTACCTAGCAACACAGCACACAGTACAGGACAGCATACAATAATAACATAAGTTTAACACAACTTACAATTGCACACATCACATAGTACAGGACAGCTTAACCTATTGCAAAACAAAACACTGCTTACCTGGCCGCACATCACACAGGACAGGACAGCATACATACAATGAAACACACCATATAGTAAAACATGAAACACACCATATAGTAAAACATAACATATAGTTTAACATAATTTACAATATTACACATATTACACATCATACAGTACAGCACACCTTTAACATAACTGACAGTGTTTCACATCATACAGAATAACACAACACATGGTAAAACAAAACTTACAGTAAAACACAAAATACGGTATTACAACTTAATAACATTATAACTCAGTATTCCGTATAGCATGTTACATAATACATATTTTCAATACATGTAAATAAGGGTGTATAGAAAAAAAAGATAAATTGTTTAGTTTCGGTTAAACGTAATTAATATGTAAATATAGATTATAATTATGCAAATAGTAAAATATAGCTTACTGATAGATTGTAATATACTTGTAAAAAAACAGATCGTTTGTAATTGATAGAATGTTTTCCTTTCTTTAATTTTCTCCATTAAGCTTCATTTCTGGTTAATGGTCGATGTTCAAATGCGTTTCATATTTGAGACCAAAACATGTTATTTGGTAGATAACATTGGGGTAATGATGAGGACAAAATCCTTGAAATGTTCATATTTGGATCAACTTACCATTTGAGATGATCTCATAAAAAACTGTTAAATCATATGAGTCTTGCCTCGACCATCACTTGAGAAACTGGCGACACGCCATCATTACAGAGAACCAACTATTATCCACCTGTGGTTAATGTATTGATTGGACATTAATTTCAAAATAAAGAACACACGTTATTAATTCGCAATACTTACTTTTAATATACATCTAAACTAAATAATCTGACATTTAAAATCATTATGCAGCAATATGTTCACTAGATGTCATAAATATTATATAATTATAGAGATTTGTTTTCTAATACGTGTATCTGTGTATATTATGGAACATGTTCATTGTCACTTATTTATATGTAAGTTTGTATCCTCTCGTATCAAAAGGGCAGCAACTCAAACTCATTTCTGGCTTGCTAGGGTAATATGCCGATGGAAAGTATGGGTGGACACATGTTCATCGGTTGCTCACGTTTTAAAGTGTTTATAAAGATTGTTTTTGTTTTTGTTTTTAACAACTTTAACAAGTATTAAAAAAATAAAAAATAAATGTATGTATCAGATGAATACATAAGTTTCTTTTCAAGATATCAGAAACCTGCAATGTTAACAATATAACCAAAGGACTATATTTCGGGGCATTTGAAAAAGAGATGTATTTAGTGTTGCTTGTCTCGCTTATTGTCTCACCATTCTGCCCGTTCTTGGTAAGGCGAGTAGTTATTCCGTAACGAACCAGGTCAATATTTGATTACCTAACCTCATTGTTCAAAATGT